AGCTCACAAACTAGTTATGTGCCCTTGACCAGAATCAAACCAGGGACCCTTCAGTCCGCAGACTGACGCTCTATCCACTGAGCCAAACAAGCTAAGGCTCAAATTATTTTTTTTAAATATATTTTATTGATTTTTTACAGAGAGGAAGAGAGAGTTAGAAACATCAATGAGAGAGAATCTTCAATGAGCTGCCTCCCGCACACCCCCTACTGGGAATGTGCCCGCAATCAAGGTACATGCCCTTGACCGGAATCGAACCCGGGACCTTTTGGTCCACAGGCCGACGCTCTATCCACTGAGCCAAACCAGCTAAGGCTCATATTAATTTTTAAAAATTAAAGAAATAAGCCCTGGCTGGTGTGCTCAGTGGGTTAAGCATCATCTCAGGTGCCGAAAGGTTGCTGGTTCGATTAGAGTCAGGGCACATACCCAGGTTTCAGGTTCAATCCTCAGTCAGGTGTTCTCTCTCCCTCCCTCTCCCTTCCTCTCTCTCTCAAATTAATAAAAACTATTTTTTTTTATTTTAAAAAAGAAAATAAATGAGGAAACTGAGGCCCAGCATCACAACCTGGTCAGCGATGGGGCTGGGATTTCAAAGCCGAGGCCCTCGGCGGGCACTGCCTGCAGCAGCAGGTGATCCGGGAACAGGCTCCTGTGACTTCCTTTCAATGCCTCTCAGCCCCCCCTTTCTCTACCCCCCACCCCGGCTCCCTACCTGCCCAACTCGGAGGAACAGCTGCTCCTCTTTGACAAGAGGGACTCCCACCCTCTTCCCTGAACCCCATCCCCACATCTTCCTTGGGGGGCCTGTTCCTCAGTTTCCCCCTGCACCCGGCCTTTCTCCGGGAACCTCCTCTTTGCCTACAGCCGGACCCAGGTTTTGTCGCTCAGAGAAAGCCTTTCCCTCCATTCTGAAGCCTTCTCAAGTGTCAGCCTCTCTCAGCTGCCCCGACCTGTTTGCTTACCCATCTTCCTTGCCCCGTTCCGGGGACACAAACCCAGTTTTCCTTGGGAAACCCTCATCCTCCATCCGCCTCCCAGGTCCAACAGCAAGCCAGTGCCCTGAGCCTGCTGACCCTGCACAGCAGCCCTGACACAGGCACTGCGCTGGGACTGGGCGTGTGGCCCTCGGCGGGACAGTGAGAGCCTCAGACTCTTGCTGAGGCAGCAGAGGGATTCTCCATCTTCTGTGATGGCTGAAGCCCGAAGCCTATGTGTGTTCTGCCTTTCTGACAAACAGCAACACAAAACATCCAAGCCCTGACCGGTTTGACTCAGTGCATGGAGCGTCGGCCTGTGGACTCAAGGGTCCCAGATTCCTGTCAAGGGCATGTACCTTGGTTGCGGGCACATCCCCAGTCGGGACAGGGGGTATGCAGGAGGCAGCTGATCGATGTTTCTCTCTCATTGGTTTTTCTAACTCTCTCTCCCTCTCCCTTCCTCTCTGTAAAAAATAAATAAATAAATAAATAAATAAAATATATATTAAAAAAACAAAACAAAAACATCCAAACCTGTAAATTGTTTTAATTCTCACTCAAGGATATGTTTATTTGTTTTTTATTGATTTGGGGGAGAAAGAGAGAAACATCAATCGGTTGCCTCCTATACGCACCCAACACAGGATTGAGCCCACAACCCCAGTGTATGTCCTGACCGGGAATGGAACTGGCAACCTTGAGGTACGTGGGAAGATGCCCAACCCACTGAGCCACCCCAGCTAGGGCTATCGGTAATTTTTATAGGAGTTATTTGAGCCAACTGATGGCATGCTGAGATCTCAAATGCTCCGGGGAATAACAGCTCTGTAGCTTCTTTTATACACTTGGAATTAAGGAGGTGACATAGGGAGAGTGCATGGAGGAGGGAAAGAGCAGGGTAGGGATTGGATTGCAGGGCAGTTTACAAGATTAAGCACTTTGTTCGGGGTTCATGCTCGCTTGCAGGCGTATTTACTTCTGCTATTTCCAAGGTGTGCAAGCCTGATGCACAAGAACAATGGCCGGGGCTGGCTTACAGCCTTCCTAAAGAAGCGACAGGCCTGGGACGTGACTGCCACCATGACCTGTCCAGTTAGGAATTTATGATCAAAACACCTGTGAGGTTATTTCTATAGAACCCCTTCGTTTCTGTCCACACATTCATCCCCGGTCCTCTGACTCTGCTATTCCTCCAGGCTCCGTGCAGGCACTCGGACGGCAGGCCGGCTCTCACGTCAGCCCGAGGCCACAGATCCAGCTCTCCGTTCCTTCTCTCCACCTTTCACTCAGAGCTCGGTCCCCAGGCCCCGCCCCTACAATGCACCTTCTGGACCCCATTCTCCAGGGAACCCCCAGCACATTAGCCTGCAAAAATAGAACTCCCTGTCCTCCCCCAAAACACACACTGCAACTGATTGTAGAAAATAATACAAATGGCCCTGACTGGTTTGGTTCAGTGGATAAAGCGTTGAGGCCTGGGGACTGAAGGGTCCCGGGTTCGATTCCGGTCAGGGCACAAGCCAGGGTTGTGGGGCTCGTTCCCCAGTGGGGGTTGGGGGGTGTGCAGGAGGCAGACAATCAATGATTCTCTCTCATCATTGGTGTTTCTCTCTCTCTCTCCCTTCCTCTCTGAAATCAATAAAAATATATTTAAAAAGGAAAAGAACACAAACAGAGCCTCTTTAACACGGCTGCTCAGAGGAACTGCCCGTCTGTCTCACTCCTCAGCCCTCCGGAGTGTGAAATGGGCGAAGTAAGCTCGCACTGGGCTTAAAGCAGCGCTCCATCCCAGACAACTGTTCGCAGAGATACCAAGAGAGCAGATAGAGTGATTACAGGCCCGGAGATTAAACGCATTTTTTTAGAATTACCGTCACCATGTTCGTTTGTATACAGAAATTAATCTCACAGGTAATCTGATCATAAATTCCTAGCTGGGCAGGTCATGGTGGGTAGTCACGTCCCAGGCCTGTTACTTCCGTAGTGAAAGGTTTTAAGGCCGCCCTGATTTTTGGAGAGAAGAAGGGAGAGGGAGAAACATCTACGAGAGAGCAAAGCACGAGTCGCCTGCCTCGGCACTGCCCCCGTCAGGGGCAATAGAACCTCAACTTGCCCTAACTGGTTTGGCTCAGTGGACAGAGCGTTGGCCTGGGGACTGAAGGGCCCCTGGTTCGATTCCGGTCAAGGGCACATGCCCAGGTTGTGGGCTCAATCCCCAGTAGGGGGCGTGCAGGAGTCAGCAGATGGATGATGTTCCTTTCTCTCCGATGTTTCAATCCCTCTCCCTTCCTCTCTCCCTGAAAACCCATGAAAACATATTTGGGGGTGGGGGAGAAATGCCACCTAATACACAATCTTAGCTATCGTATAATCCATTTTCCGCCCTGCTCTCTCCCACCTTCCTGTAATTTCCCCGCCTTAATCTCAAATGAATAAAAAAAACTATAAAAGGATTATTATCTGGAGCATTTGAGATCTCCCTCCCCGGCATATATCCTCAATTTATAAACTCTTATAAAAAAATTTTGGGCCCGAACCAGTTTGGCTCAGTGGATAGAGCGTTGGCTTGGGGACTGAAGGGTCCCAGGTTCGATTCCGGTCAAGGGCATGTACCTTGGTTGCAGGCACATCCCCAGTAGGGGGTGTGCAAGAGGCAGCTGATCGATGACTCTCTCTCATCGATGTTTCTAACTCTCTATCTCCCTCCCTTCCTCTCTGTACAAAATCAATAAAATATATATATTTTTAAAAAATGGCTCAGTGGATAGAGCTTTGACCTATGGACTCAAGGGTCCCAGGTTTGATTCCCATCAAGGGCATGTACCTTAGTTGCGGGCACATCCCCCGTGGGGAGTGTGCAGGAGGTGGCTGGTTGAGGTTTCTCTCTCATCGATGTTTCTATCTCTCTATTCCTCTCCCTTTCTCTCTAAAATAATCAATTAAAAACAAAACAAACAAAAAAAAAACACTAGTGACCCAGGGCACTGATTTGTGCACATTGAAAGGAAATTAATTAGAAGGTGGCCAGCAGGGCGGGATTGGGCTAGATGGGCCGGACACACCCTGGAGCCAACCTCCTGCGGTGTCTCCAGAGTGAATGCAGGTGGGGTCCCTCAGCCTGGCCTGCAAGAATCGGGCCAAAACTGGCTCTCCGACTACCCGAGGGGTCCCGGAGTGCGAGAGGACACTCTGCGAAGTTGCTGTCCAGGGTGGGGAACCCAAACACCAGCATGCAGTAAACCAGATCGGGGGCCGATGGTGCCCCGACAACAACATAACCCATGGCCGAAGGTGGAATTGCACAGCCAGTGAGGAATCGGGCTCCCTCCTCTCTGGTTTCGGGGTGCATCACCCAAGAACTGCCTCTGCCAAGTCACAGCGACTCCTGCGTTAAACGTCTGCCCCCTAGTGGTCAGTACATGTCATAGCAACCAGCCTGACAGTCGGACACTTAGCATATTAGCCTTTTATATATATAGATACCTACAGCTTTGAACATTTATTTTTTTTAAGTAAATCTCTTTTTTATTTATATTTTTGTTTGTTTTTAGAGAGAGAGGAGAGGAGGAGAGATAGAAACACCACTGGAGATCCAACTGGCAGCAGTTGATGCCCGGCCTGGAGCACACCAGCCAGGCTGGAAGTTACTTACATCAACACGTCTACCGATGCCATTGTTCCCTTTCCTTTCTCACAAACACCCTGCCTGTGACTCCCCGTCAGAACACTGGCTGTCTGCCCGCGCCCGCACTTCCTGAACAGCGACTCTCCTGGATCTCAGACACATGCTGTTGCCTCTCACACTGGCCTTCGTTTCTAGGTTCACATGCTCTGCCCCCTCCCCCAGGCTTTCACTCTCGGCACCATCACCGACCCGCTCCACACCGTCCAGGTTCTGTCCTGCCCGTGACAGACACTGACTCGAGGTCACTTAGAGCAGAGAAAGGATCTGCTGGGAGGAAACCCAGTAGTTCTCACAGTGGATGGGAAAGCTGGACCCCTCCCTGGGAGAAGGGCAGGGGCCTAGGGAAGGGGCAGCCAGAACCGGAGCCAGGGCCACGGGCATCGCCTGCTGGGAAGCGGATGCTAACGGCCCACAGCTGAGTCCTCCCTGCGCCTCTGGGGCCCTGAGTGGAAGCATCTGACGCCCGAGCTCCAGCAGAAAGGCCTGGGGAGCGGGTTAAAACAGGAAAGAAAAGAAAGATGACCTTTTGGCGAAGGCCTCAGCGGTCCTGGGTGTATCTCTTGCTTCAACTGTGTTTGGACGGAACAGACCCAGGGCCGCCCCTTCTGCCAGCCTCCGAGCACCCTCCGCCCTCTTCCCAGTCACCACTTCCGCACCACCTCTATGTTTTCTGCCTTAACTCCTTATTGCCAAACAACACACCATAACCCTACTGCCAACAACACACCGTAACCCTACTGCCAACAACACACCATAACTCTACTGCCAACAACACACCATAACCCTACTGCCGAACAACACACCGTAACCCTACTGCTGAACAACACACCGTAACCCTACTGCCAACAACACATCGTAACCTTACTGCCAACAACACACCATAGCCCTACTGTCAACAACACACCATAACCCTACTTCCAACAACACACCATAACCCTACTGCCAACAACACACCATAACCCTACTGCCAACAACACACCATAACCCTACTGCCAACAACACACCATAACCCTACTGCCAACAACACACCATAACCCTACTGCCAACAACACACCATAACCCTACTGCCAACAACACACCATAACCCTACTGCCAACAACACACCATAACCCTACTGCCAACAACACACCATAACCCTACTGCCAACAACACACCATAACCCTACTGCCAACAACACACCATAACCCTACTGCCAACAACACACCATAGCCCTACTGCCAACAACACACCATAACCCTACTGCCAACAACACACCATAACCCTACTGCCAACAACACACCATAGCCCTACTGCCAACAACACACCATAGCCCTACTGCCAACAACACACCATAACCCTACTGCCAACAACACACCATAACCCTACTGCCAACAACACACCATAACCCTACTGCCAACAACACACCATAGCCCTACTGCCAACAACACACCATAGCCCTACTGCCAACAACACACCATAACCCTACTGCCAACAACACACCATAACCCTACTGCCAACAACACACCATAACCCTACTGCCAACAACACACCATAACCCTACTGCCAACAACACACCATAACCCTACTGCCAACAACACACCATAACCCTACTGCCAACAACACACCATAATCCTACTGCCAACAACACATCGTAACCTTACTGCCAACAACACACCGTAATCCTACTGCCAACAACACACCATAACCCCGTAACCCTACTGCCAACAACACACCATAACCCTACTGCTGAACAACACACCATAGCCCTACTGCCAACAACACACTGTAACATCTACTGTGGAACAACACACCTTAACGCCTATTGCCGAACAACCAGGAGCTCCCAAATTTGTCATAATTACTCCCCCGAGCCTGAGGCTGCCGTCCACCACCTGGCCAGCCGTCCGGGCGCCCACACCTACCGCTCCGGACGCTGTGGCTGGAGGGCGGGGGCCATGTCTTCCTCGCGTTGGCGGAGAAGCAGAGGGCGCTGGGCGGCTCTTACAGATGCAAACCCAGCGGGTGCCGCCTTCTCCTCCAGGACGAGCAGAAGCCGCCCCGAGATGAGGGGCACAACTCGGGGGCCATGCGCGCCGCCCGGCCTGGGAGAGGAGCTGACCCGGCCTCTGGGCCTGCAGCCCTGGCTCTGCCCCAGGCCCGCAGCGCTGACCCCTGGAGAACCACTTCCGGGGGAGGAGGAGAGGCTCCTCCAGAAGAGGGGCCACACCTGCCTCCCCTCCGCAGGCTGCGGCCCACGCTGGGCGGGCGGGTGTCTCTGCCAAAGGCCCCCTCCAGCTGAGCCCCTGGAGCCCAGAGGCCTGTGGGGGCCCCTCTGCACCCCCTGGTGCCTGGCTTTTGCCTGCGCCTCTCCCCGCACCCCTGGAGCCCTCTCCCATGCATTGGACCACATGGAGCAATAAAGCTTTTAGCAGCTGAAACCGGTTTGGCTCAGTGGATAGAGCGTCGGCCTGCAGACTGAAAGATTCCGGGTCCGATTCTGGTCAAGGGCATGTACCTTGGTTTCGGGCACATCCCGGGGGGGAAGGGGTGTGTGTGTGTGTGCAAGAGGCAGCTGATTGATTGATGATTCTCTCTCATCAATGTTTCTAACTCTCTATCCCTCTCTGTGAAAAATCAATAAAAAAATATTTTTTTTAAATAATAATAAAAATAAAGCTTTTTGCAGAAAAAAAAAAAACCTCTTAAAAAATAAAGATTACCTTTTGTTTTTAATATGTTTTAATTTATTTCAGAGAGAGGAAGGAGGGGGAGATAGAAACATCAGTGATGACAGAGAATCACTGATGGCAGCCTCCTGCATGTCCCTACTGGGGGCCAAGCCCACAACCAGGAATCAGACATGACCTCCCAGCGCATAGGTTGACCCTCACCACTGAGCCACCTGGCCGGGCTGGAAAGCAAGTATTCGGACTGGAGGCCTTCATGGTCCCGCTTCCCACCTGGGCTCCTGATGTCGACACCGATAACCCGCCTGCCCCCACCCCCAAACCGCAGCTGCACCTGCAGAGACTGTGTCCTACGGGTCTTGTGTCTCTGTGTTCCCAGGACCTTTGCCCCAGACTGCGCGCACCCCACGCTAGGGGCAGCTGCCAGAACGCTGGGCGGTGTGGTGCAGTGGTTAGATCAGGACTCTCCAGCCAGACTGCCCTGTTTCAGACCACACTAGCTGTGTGACCTCCGGAAGGTTACTGACTCCTCTGTCCTGTTGATAGGACCACAATACTATCTACCTCTGATTGTGACGATAAGTGCATTCTGGTCTGCAAAGAGCTCCCGAGGAGCCTGCAGCGGCGACCACCACGTCCTATAGAGTGAGCTGTTATTCCCAGGGCACGGTGCCCATCACGACTCCTGCGTCTCCAAAACCTCTCTCTGCCTCCGCTCAGTTCTCTGATGAAGTACAGCCCCTTGGCGTGCTTCGAAGCCCTGCTGGGTGGCCTGGCCTTCTCCGGCCCAGTCTGGGATGTCCTCAGCCGGTCTCCCTCCGGAGGCCTGTCCCCAGGGGAGTGCTTCCTGAGGAGTCCCACCAGCCGCAAGTTCGATCCCCGGCCCCAGCCTGAGCCAGTGTGGGAGGCAATCAATGGATGTGTCTCTCTCACATCAATGTTTCTCTCTCCCCCTCTCTCTCTCTCCCTCTCTCCCCGTCTCCCTCCCACTCCCCCTTCCCTAAAAATCAATGGAAAAAATATCCTTGGGTGGAGGATTAACAACAAAATTCCTCACTAAAGACGGGTCACGGCTGTTTGTCAGGTCCTAGGCCGATCGTTAACCTTGAGCTTGTCTATTGGCTGTGTCGTAAGATAGCAGACCGTGCAAATGCCAGAGGAGCTTTCTTTTCCAAACGGCTCCGAGGCACAACCACTGGCGCCTGAGCAGAGCATGAGGCCACACTGCTATCTGCTGCCACATGCCATCTGCATGTGCTGTCCCGTGAGCTGTCCGGTGTCTTTTTAAAACACCTCGGGACGCGGGACAAACTGTTAAAAATTGGGACTGTCCCTTGCCGAAACCGGTTTGGCACAGTGGGGGCTGTGCAAGAGGCAGCTGATGGATGACTCTCTCTCATCAGTGTCTCTAGCTCTCTATCTCTCTCCCTTCCTCTCTGTACAAAATCAATAAAATATATTTAAAAAAAATTGGGACTGTCCCACCAAAAGCGGATGTCTGGTCACCTTACCCATCACCCAGGACCAGCACAGCGACCCCGCAGCCCAGGAGGCCAGGCCGCGCGGAGAGAAAGGCAGCCGGGCTCATGGCAGCCGCTCCCGCTCCCCAGCCCGCAGCTGTGTGCTCCCTGGGCACCTGGGATAAAGCCCTGGAGTCGGCTCCGCCTGGCTCCGCCTGTAAGGAGGGAGGAGGCGGAGAAGTTACAGAACTGGCTCAGGCCCCACAGGGGACTCCAGCCCAGCTCCCTCCAGACCCCGCTCTGGCCCGCCCGCAGCGCCCAGTGCGAACACCAGGCTGGCCTCAGCGACCATCTGGGGAAGCGAGGAGTGAGCCATGTTCTGGATCTCCTGCCTGCGGGGAAGGCCGGGCAGGCTTCTGCGCCCCCAGGCCCCCAGCACCTCCCTGTCCCCTGGCCTTCCCCACTCCCGGGCCCTGGTGCTGGACGGAGCCCCTCCCCTCACCCCCCTCCCCGCCTTCTCTGGACACACTCCCTCTGCTCGCCTTCCTTCCCACCCAGGGCAGCTGGGCCCCGCGGTGTGAAAGGAATGACGAGGCCCCAACCCCCCCCATCACACACCCCCTTTCTGAGCCTGGGTCTCCCCATCCCGTGGGGGAGCGGAGGGAGGAGTCTCTCCTCCTGTGCCCACACGGCGGCCGGCACAGTCTGTAAAGATGAACGGCCGTGATAAAACACGCAGCTGGGAAGCCGGGAGACCATAAACCTCTCCCCGCGGCCGGGTTCCAGCATTAAACCGTGACCCCCAGGGACGCTGCCGTAAAGGGCAGAGCCGGGCGGGCGGTGGCCCTGTGCTTGCTCCGGGGGTGGCTTCTTCCTTTCTTCATTTGTGCGTCTCCTAGCTTTCTGATCACTGACTTCTTTTTTTTTTTTTTAATGTATATTTTATTGATTTTTTTACAGAGAGGAAGAGAGAGGGGTAGAGAGTTAGAAACATCGATGAGAGAAGCACTGATCAGCTGCCTCCTGCACATCCCCCACTGGGGATGTGCCCGCAACCAAGGCACAGGCCCTTGACCGGAATCGAACCTGGGACCCTTGGGTCTGCAGGCCGACGCTCTGTCCACTGAGCCACACCGGTCAGGGCTGATCACTGACTTCTTCTGCAATCAGGGAAAGGTTATGTAGGAGGAATGCTTCTGCATCAGAAGCACCTACACGCCTGCTCTGACGCTGTGTCACAGGGGAGTCTAGCCGGTGAGAGTAAGGTGACCAGATGTCCCGCTTTTGGCGGGACAATCCCGATTTTTAACAATTTGTCCCGCGGCGTTTTAAAAAAGACACAGGCCCCGGTGCAGGCTCCATCCCCCGTGGGGGACATGCAGGAGGCAGCTGATGAGTGATTCTCTCTCATCATCGACGTTTCTATCTCTCTTTCCCTCTCCCTTCCTCTCTCTGAAATCAACTATATATATGTGTGTATATATATATATATATATATATATATAAAATTGATTTTTTATATGAGAGAGAGAATCATTGATTGGCTGCCTCCTGTCCCCTAATGGGGATCAAGCCCACAACCCAGGCATGTGCCCTCCCTCGGAATCAATCCGGGGACCCCTCAGTCAGCAGGCTGATGCTCTATCCACTGAGCCAAACCAATTAGGGCTGAAATCAGCGTTTTTAAAAACACACTTAACAGAGCCTATGAGGAGACCTGGTGCCTCCACCCCTCCTTTCTGTGACTCCAGAAACCAGAGAGGCTGGCAGAGGGCATGGGGCACTGGGTCTGTGAAATCAGGTTGAGCCTCTGTCCCACTTCCCGAATGCTTTGCTGGGGGGGAGGGGGGGGAAATAGACCTTGGCAGTTGGGTATTCTGCTACTTGCGCCAAAATAATTTCAATTTGACACAATGACCAAAATGACACTCTTCATTTCTCCTTCCCAGGTCTGCTCCTCCATTTCCTGTCCACCACGCCTTCCACGCCCTCCCCTCCTTCTTGCCCCTGGCTCAGGCCCCATGCACCTCGGTTCAGTCTCCTCTGCTCTTCCTCCCTCCCACCAGAGCTCCTGCAGCTCAGGCCCCAAGTCCCCCTACCTCCGAGCTCCCTCCTCTACCCACAGGCTTTTCTAAAATACAAACCTGAGTGTGTTTCTCATTGAAGCATCTGTGGGCCACAGGCTAATGTTCAAAATCCTGCCCGTGGCATCCAAGCCCCTCGGAAACACAGCCCCAAACCACCTCCTGCTCCCATCGGCGGCCACTCCTCCCGGGACCTATTCTGCAAGCTTAGCTGCACCAGAATATCCCCTACACACACTCTCACCCTGCACCTTTGTTCTCCGCTCCCTCGTCCTAGAATGGGAATGCCTCCTTGTCCCCCACACTCACGCCGAATGTCTCCCCTTCTGCGAAGCCCTCCTCCCCGCAAACAATCATCCCCTCCTCCCGGAGCCCACAGCCTGTGGTTCCCCTTACACCACAATTCCCATCCTTATCTGATACCCTAATGATATATGTGCCAGTAAACCAGGTTCCTTCAGGGCAAGGATCTATTTCAGAGTCCCCAGTGCCTCCTAGTACAGTGTGTAACATGAGCAATTAATCTTATTTATTTCTTTTTTTTTTTTTTAGAGAGGAAGGGAGAAGGATAGAAGAGACAGAAACACTGATGAGAGAGAAACATCACTGATCGGCTGCCTCCTGCAAGCCTCCTTCCGGGGAGGGAGCCCAGAACCCAGGCATGTGCCCTGAGCGGGCATCGAACTTCCATCTCTGGGTTCCTGGGTTGACGCTCAACCACCGGGCCACACCAACCGGGCGATGAGTCTGTTTTTGGTGGAAGAGGCAGCCGTACAAACCCTCCTGGAACACAGTCCCATCCTCCTTCCACGGCCCCTCCCTTCTCCCCCGCTTCCCTGCATGGACTCCCAGGGGAGGAACCCCACCCTCTTCCATGGAATCAGGAGTTGCGTGTGCGAGCGGGAACAGATCCATGCGGTTCTGGTCACTTCGGCCCTCAGTAAAAGAGCCTCAGTAAAAGAGCCTGGCTTTAGCTTAGCAACATCTAAAGCACTTCCCCACATTGTGAGAGTCTCCAGAATCTAGACAAGCCATGCCCAGATCCCATCTAAAAAGTGAGCTCCAGGACAGCTGGGATCTCTCCCCGTATCCCCCACAAAGCCCCCAGTTCTGAGTCCAATCCAGACCGCGTGCTCCATACATACTTGTTGAGTGAAAGCCAACCTCAGGTTTATTTCTAGGTCCTAAGAGCCAGTCAACTCAAGTGTTCACAACTGAAGCCAGCCTGCGTGGGTGTGTGGCTGTGTGTATTTATATCTGCCCTGCCTCATCACGATGGCCAAGTCTGAAACACTCAATGGGAGTTATGCTGCCATTGAAGATATTGTTTAGCCTGGCCTGCACGGCTCAGTGGTTGAGCACTGAACTGGGAACCAGGTGGTCCCTGGTTCAATTCTCGCCCAGGTTACTGGCTCCATCCCCAGTGGAGGGCATGCAGGAGACAGCCAATCACTGATTCTCTCTCATTGATGTTTCCATCTCCCTCTCTCTTCCTCTCTGAAATCAATAAAAATATTTTTAAATATTGGTTGTAAATATATATGAATTGTTTTTTATAGTATATTTTTATTGATTTCAGAGAGGAAGAGAGAAGGAAAGAGAGATCGCATCGTCAATGATGAGAATCATTGATCAGCTGCCTCCTGCCTCCTCCCACTGGCATGTGTCCCTGATCAGAATGGAACCTGGGACCTTTCAGTCCACAGGCCAACGCTCTACCACTGAGCCAAGCTGGCTAGGGCTATAAATATATATTAATTATTTACAGCCCTGGCCAAGTGGTTATAATTGGTTGGACTGTCATACGGTACACAAAAGGCTTTGGACTGGGCACCTATGGAAGGCAGTTGATCAATGTTTCTCTCACACATCAATGCTTTTCTCCCCCTTCCCCTTTCTCTAAAAATCAATAAAAATGTATCCTCAGGAGAGGATTTAAAATAAAATTACTAAAACCAATGTTGTTTATAAAGAGTTTGCAACATGAAAAATGTCTTCTGTCATAAAATTAGAGGAGAAAAAAAGTACCCAATAAAAATGTGTGATATTTTTCACACTGTGTAAAAGCAAGCAACCCCAACCCCAAATCTCACAACAAAAAGCTTGCTGGTGGCTCCTCCTCCCCTTTATTCTCCTCCTGTTCTCTCTCTCTCTCTCTCTCTCTCTCTCTCTCTCTCTCTTTCTCTCTCTCTCTCTCTCTCTCTCTCTCTCTCTCTCTCTCTCTCTCTCTCTCTTTCTTAATCCTCACACAAAGGTATTTTTCCCATTGATTTTTAAACAGAGTGGAAGGGAGGGGGAACATAGAGAGAAACATCGATGTGTGAGAGACATCGATAGATTGCCCCCCCCAACTCGCCCACCTGCCCTGCCTTTGACCAGAATGGAACCCGGGACCCTTCAGTCCAAGGGCCAAAGCTCCAACCACTGAGCCAGACCAGCTAGGGTTCCTGGTCTCTCTCTCTCTCTCTCTCTCTCTCTCTCTCTCTCTCTCTCTCTCTCTCTTTCTCTCTCCCTCTCCCTCTCCCTCTCCCTCTCTGTCTCTTTAATTTTATTTATTTAATTTTTTTTAGAGAAAGGAGAAGAGAGAGAGAGAGAAACTGATTTGTTGTTCCGGTCACTCATGCATTTGTTGATTGCCTCTTGTATGTGCCTGACTGGGGACCAAACCCACAACCTTGGCATATCAGAATGACACTCTAACCAACTGAGCTACCCGGCCAAGACTCCTGTTCTCTTTTTTCCGACTTTACATACATCCTATATAATAAAAGGCTAATATGCAAATTGTCCCCTTCACCGGAAGTCCGGCCAGGGGGCAGGCCGGCCAGCCAACCTCCCACCCCACCCTGCCCTGCCCTATAGGCCTGATGGGATGGCCGGCCGGATCCCTCCTGTGCCTGAATTCCTGCACCAGGCCTCTAGTTATTAATGAAGTGGGAATATACACACTTAATCAATAAAATGGGAAACATACACTTGACTTTTCAGAATGACATTGAGGGAATGGCACAGAGGCTCAGGCCTCCCACCCCTACCCCACTGTCTAAAGGTACCCTCAGGGGCTGGGCACCCCAGGACCCTGTGGTTTTGCCACCCCAACCACAGGGTGCCCAGTAAAGGAGTAGCAATCAAGTAGCTCTGCCAGGTCCAGACTGGAAATGGCGCCTCCAGGCGGACAGTACCCCCAGGGTGGACAGTGTGTCCTTTCTTTTTTTAAAAAAAAATATTTTATTGATTTTTCCACAGAAAAGAAGGGAGAGGGATAGAGAGCTAGAAACGGCAATGAGAGAGAAACATCGACCAGCTACCTCCTGCACACCCCCTACTGGGGATGTGCCCGAAACCAAGGTACATGCCCCTGACCGGAATCGAACCTGGGACCTTTCAGTCCGCAGACCACGACGCTCTATCCACTGAGCCAAACCGGTTTTGGCAGTGTGTCCCTCCAGAGGACCGGCCTCCTGCCAGACACTCAGAGGGTTAATCCTGTCTCAGAAATTCACAGAGAAGGCCCAGGAGGGGAATTTCCCAGACAGGCAGACAGACAGACAGACAGACACCTCAGACCGCTCTAAGCACAGATGTTTGCCTGGCGGTGGTGAGCCTGCACAAGCGCACCGGTTTGCGGTGAGAGGGAGCCCAAAGCCAGAGACAGACCCGCCTGGGCAGGCCGGGGGCTGCGGAGGGGGAGGGACGGGGAGGTCGAGTCTCTGGGCACCTCTCTGCTGTCTGTCTGGGCCACGCAGTGCCTGCAACGCTCCTCGGCGTCCAGCAGGCGGCGCAGCGCTCCGGAGCGCGGCCTGCGGTCCGCGGGGACACTCCCGGCGAGTGTGCTGCATAAATAAATAGTGGTTTGTCTGATCCCCCGCCGGTCCCCGCGCTCCCCAAGGGCAGGGATTTCATCTCAGTCGCCGCCTTACCTTCGTTGCTAATTACAACACCCGGCCCCTAATGGGTGCCCCAATAGGTCTGGAAAACGACCCCCAAACACAAAAATAGACGAGTAATGAATAATGGGATCAAAGCCCGAAGTGAGGATGTTGGGGGAAGCGCCACGCCGAGGAAGGAGGCTCCGTGTTCCGTTCGTGTTTCCAATCCCCCCCCCCCACACACACACCTTTTTTCCACCGGCCCCAGCCCCAGACGCGGGCAGGACTTGGCCCGGCGGCTTGGGCGGAGCGAGCCTGAACCTGCCCGACCGAGCGGCGCAGCCGAGGGACCCGACGCGGTCCCGCCCCGCGGTCCCAGGGATCCGAGAAAAGGAGGGGGGGCCCGTGCTCAAACCACCTCCCCCGGGGGGCAACCCGGGGCTGCCATCTCCTTGGGCACCGCCACCCTCCTCCCCCTCCGGAGCCCCTCTCCGTGTCTGCTCTGAGCACTAAGAGGGCAGCGGTTCCTTCCCCAAACAGTGATGTCACCCGCTCCACAGTCATTTATTGAGCAGCTACTATGTGCTCCGCGCTAACCGCGCCGAGCCTGGGTTCTCAGGGACCCGGGCGAAGGGACGGGACCACCTCCCGCCGGGCACGTGGGAGGCCGGCCCCGGGGACCTCCCAGGTGAGTAAAGAGCGCGTGAGGCGCCCGGAGCCGGCCGGCAGGTAGACTTCGCCCCGGCGGGAGGGGCGGTGGAACGCGGGGCCGGGCACGTCGCCGGGGGCCGGAGCCCGCCCCGGGGCGCAGGGGGGCGGGGGGGAAGGCGGGTCTGGCCCTCAGCAGGTGAGGGCAAATATTTACGGTCCGCACCGCACGTCCGTACCGCGCGCAGCCTGCGCCCCGAGGCCGGGGGCGGGGACCAGCCTGGCCCTCCCGCCCGGGCCCGCCCCGCGGGGTCAGCGCGGACCGGCCTCGGCGTCCCGGCCCCGGGTAATTACAGGGGCTGTCGCCGGCCCGGCCGTAAAAGAGGAGGATGAAACGGCCTGGGAACCGGGGAGAGGGGCCCGGCCGGCGGGGGGCAGAGGAGGGCCGGAGCCTGCGGCTTCCCGCGCTGGGAGCTGCGGGGCGGGCTGGCCTGGGGCGCGCACACCCGACACCTCCCGGGGGCGCGCACAGGCCGCCAGGCGCACAGCACTCCGCCTCCCACGCGAGACACTCAGTGCAGCCCAACACCTGCCAGTCCGTGCCTCCCCGCGAGGCAGACTCTCCCCCCCCCCCGCCAGGAGTCCCTCCGCAGACAGAAGACCCCGGCGAGGCGTCCCCCTCCCATTGCCCAGGGAATCCCAGTGGGTGTGTTCACGGGGCGCGGGGAAGGGGGCGAGCGGGGTTCTGCAGCCTGAGGATTAGGAGACCAGCTGCCCCGCCCCGGGGCGCCACGTGAACACCCCTGCCCCCCGCCCCGCCCGCGTGCCCTGCCGGCCTGTGCACTTTCCCTTCTTCGTGCAACACGCGTCCAAGTTTCACACGCTCCCCCCACCCCCAGGCGCAGCTGGGACACATTCAGACGCTCTCACACTTGCACAACAGCACATGCCAGATGCACATGTGTGGTGAGTCACTTCATGCCGGGTTCTCACCGTCCACACTCAAAGCCCGTCCGCGCGGCGCACACGTATGTGCACACAGGCACACACATGCACTCACACACACACACTCACACACACGCAGCCCGCGTCCTCTGGCGCATAGAAACACAGGCAAACGCTGTCGCGGGCCCAGGCTGCGGCTGCCCTCTCCGAGGCACAGACGTGCGCCCTCACCCCGGCCACACACGTTACACACTTGGTCACTCGGGGTCACACTTCATTCCCGGCATCCAGGCGATGACACAACCTCCCGAACAAAGACAACATTGACAAACCCAACAAAAACAAACAGCCGCGTACGTGAGGAGGGGCCGGGGAGCGCAGCCGGGCCCGGGGGGCGGGGAGGAGTGTGGGAACGCGGGGAGCCGGGATGGACGAGCGGGGATGCGGTGGATCGATCCACAGCCCCGCGTCCCGCGAGGTCCGCGCTGCGCGCAAAGCCGGGGCTCCCCCCGCGTGTTCCAGAGCCGCTGGCTTCCCTCTCCCCACGCGGCTCTGCCGGGGACACAGACCCCCCCCCCCGGGCAGGCCCAGCAGGCGGCACACGGACCCCCGAGTGGGCGACACGCAGCTCTGCCCGGGCGGAGCCGCGCTCCGCTCCCGCCGGCGCCCCTCCTCCACCTCCCGGCCCCAGGCCCCGGGCAGCGCCGGGCGGGGCGGGGCGGGGGCGGGGCGGGTGCCGGGCGGGCGGCGCTGGCCCAAAAGGCGGAGTCCGGCGGCGCTGGAGCCAAATCTGGGAGCCTGTGCCGCCTGCGAAATCTGTGCGAGCCCTGCCGCCCGCCCGCGCCGGGAGAGCCAGCCAGAGCCCGGAGCCTGAGCGCCCCCGCCCCGCCGGCCTGGCCAGGCCCCGCGCTATGGAGCTCCTCTGGGCCCCTCTGCTGGGTCTCTGCTACAGCCTGGCCGCCGCCGACCGCCACACCGTCTTCTGGAACAGTTCGAACCCCAAGTAAGCCCGGTCTCCGGCCCTGCACCCCGGCCCAGCTGCTCCAGCCAGCCCCCGGCTGGGGGCCTCGGGGTGGCCACCGAGGCGGGAGGGGTTCCTTCAGTGTTATTCCCTCTCTTCTCCCCCAGAGCGGGGAGCAGGCCACCCCAGGGTGGGAACCTGCCTGTGGCGTCTGCTTTCTGTTCCTGTGTCTGCCCCTCCTGCCCTTCCCGGGGCACCTCAACTTCCCCGAAGTGAGGCACCCATGCTGGGCAGACCCTGCCTCCCTCCCTGGCCACCGGGGCGCTTGGGGGCGGCCCCTCCACCACCAAAGCCTGGGTCCCTCTCCTGTCTGCGCTTGGGCATCTGCCCGCACTGACAGGCACCGGTGTGCCATCAGGAGGAAGCAGAGGGCTCGCTGTACCCCTAGAAGGAGCTCTGTGTTTGGGGTGCCGGTGGGAAGCGCCCCGCCGGGGGATCCTCAGAGATGACAGGAGGGAGGGAGGCACGCGCTGCGGCCGGCAGGCCGAGGGAGTCATCTGTTTATGAGGCGCAGGTAGTAAAACCAGAGGCATGGGGGAGGGAGGTCATGGGAAAGGCCCCGGAGGAATGGAAGGGGTTAAAAGGTTACTGAGGGCTCAGGGCAGCAAGGAGTTAATTCTTCCCGGGGCAGTTTCTAGGGCCGCGAGGCAAATGGTAATACTGGACTGAAGACGCTGCTCTGTGGGACCCTTTGTTCTTGCCCTTGAGTTTTCTGAAGTTTTGGGGACAGTCTCTGTGCAGAACGGGAGAGGCGGGGTGGGGAGAAGAGTGGAGAGGAGGGTTGAATGGCTTGGGGTCAGGAAGAGCACGCCCCCAGCCCCCCTGATAAAGGTATTGTGCCAGCTTCCTCCGGCCCTGCAGCGGCATTGCTTGGTGTGGGGGTCTGTGTCTGTGGTGAGAGCAGCTGGCTGCCAGCCCCGGAGGGCAGCGCCCTCTTGTCCCCCTGGTTTACAAGGGGCAGCCCAGCCCGCCCTCCCCCCACCCCGCTCCCCGCTGTCCGCGCTCTGCTGTCTGCTCTTTGCTTCCTTGACCCAGTCTTGTCCTAGTGGGAGAGAGCAAAGTCCCTGTTTATGCCCATGCCAGGTGTTGGCTGGAGGAGGAGGAGGGGACAGGAAGCTGCGAGTAGGGAGGGGGTGACCCCGGCCTTTTCCGTTCCCAAGCTCCCAGGTTTCCTCTCTTTCAGGAAGGAGCCTCTTCCTTGCCCCTTTCCCCGCCTTCCCTGACGCCACTGCCCCCCTTTCCCCGACGGGAGAGCCAGAGTCAGAAGGGTCCTCAGTGGCGCAGATTGCACCCCAGGGAGGGGGCGATGGGTGCTCCACTGAGCAGAGTTCTGCCCCGTTCCATCTGGCCACATGCTCACGTACCATGCCCAGGACTGACAGAACTCGCCAGCCCAGACTGGAGTGCACGGGCAGCCAGGCGAGGCCCAGCCGAGGCCAGAGATGAGGTGGCGGGGAGCTGGGCGGGTGCGAGCCTGGCTCCCTGACTCAGGGCCGTGAGCATCCGTCAGCCGTGGGACCTCGGAGGGGGGCGGCGTGGGATGAGGGTGGTGCTCCTGCGAGCTGGGCACGGGCCTCCCTGGTACTGGAGGGGCAAGTCCCCTGCCGGCTCCCTCAGCCTGGGGGAGGGTGCCCGGGGCTGGGGGACACTGTGCCGTCCTGGGGTCCGCACCTGACAAGGTACATTTTCACAGGCTCGTGAATGCTGGGGAGGGTGGCAGAGGTGGATGAGGAATGAGTCAGTGCCCTTCACTGGAATGGGGGAAGGATGCCAGGCCCAGAGCTGAAATACCTGTTCTGAAATGGCTTCTATGTTTATCTCTCCAGAGAGGAATTTTAAAAGCCTCTCTCTCTCTCTCTCCCTGCCTCCCTCCCAGCCTCTCTCCTTCTCCTCTCCAGGGTGGGGGAGGGGCCCTGCTAAGCCTAGCCAGAGAACTGACACAGCCACCCGCAAAGCCAGGCCTCGTGGGGGTCATGCTGACTGGGCAGTGGGTGCCCACCTCCCAGGCCTTGGCCTAATTCCCGCCAGACACTCCTCCCACCATCCGTGCCCAGAGCTTTGGTTTGAGCGAGTTGGCAGCCAGCTCCGCTGAGTGTCTAGCTGATGGTGCTTAGGGGAATTCAGAGAAGCTGACCAGCCTGGAGAGGGAGGTGAGGAGGCCCTTTTCCCCCTGCCAGGACCCCACCCAGCCTGGAGCCAGGTGTCTGGGGCTGGGGGGAGGGGCTGGTGGGCAGTCAGGCTGGAGCCTGCGGAGCCCGGAGGGAATGGGCTGGGGGAGGGGAGCTGGCTCCACCCTGGGAGGAGAGGCAGCCTCAGATCTGAGAACTCCGGCGTTTCTGGGGCTCACCGCGCAGCTGACTGTGGCTTTTGCAGATAAAGGGACAATGGTGGTGTGGGTGCTTGGAGAAAAGTGGACCAGGAGGCCTGAGCGCCGTTTTAAGCAGCTGGAAGGAGGGGTTCGAGGGAATGAATGAATGGATGAAAGTGACTGAACTTAAAGAAAGGATCAGAACATTCTCTGTGGGCTGGGTGTACTGGAGGTTTGCGGGGAATGAAGCTGAGAAATAGGAGACAGATGCTATGGGTCAGGGTGGGAGATGAAAGGAGTAAGAGAAGTGAAGGCATAACTGTGTGGGGCTGGTGAAGAGGGAGGGTTCCTTGGACCCTGAGGACAGAATGGCCTCAGACTGGGGCCCACAGCACTTAAAGGAACACCTGGTATGGATGTGGGGAAATATTTATAGGAGGAAGAGCATGATGAGTGAGCTAAGGAAATACTTAGCAGCCCATCCTTGAGTAGAGATCAGGGGGTAATGGGAAGTGTTTTGCTGCCTAAAGGACTCTGCGTGGATGCTACTTGTTGAACACAGGGATGGTGGAGGGATGTTTGGAAACGGTGGGAAGATATTTAAGAGGCCAAGATCGGTCAATACTGGGAGCTGAGGTTGCCAACACATCTGTGTGGGGGCCCAGTGTGAAATGTGAGGGGGCCGTGTAAACGTTCAGAGCCTCTGGCTCCCGAGTGACGGCTCCCTCCCCTCCCCTCCCTCCGCTCTCGCGCGCCCAGGTTCCGGAGCGAAGACTACACTGTGCACGTGCAGCTGAATGACTACCTGGACATCATCTGCCCCCATTACGAGGACGACTCGGTGGCAGCCGCCGCCATGGAGCAGTACACACTCTACCTGGTGGAGCTGGAGCAGTACCAGCTGTGCCAGCCCCAATCCAAGCAGCAGGTCCGCTGGCAGTGCAACCACCCCAGCGCCAGGCACGGCCCCGAGAAGCTGTCCGAGAAGTTCCTGCGCTTCACGCCCTTCACCCTGGGCAAGGAGTTCAAGGAGGGACACAGCTACTACTACATCTGTGAGTGCCGGGAGGCGGGCGGGGGCACCAAGCGGGCACGCGGCTGGCATGGGGCAGGTGCCCACGTGCCTGCTTCGCGGGCGGTCCGGCCGCAGAGGGCCTCTCCAGTGCCGGGCTCTGTTCTCCGTCATTCACAGTACAGTGTGGAGTGAGCTTCTCCTGAGCTTGGCACCGGCCACAGAGATAAACCCCTGTCCACAGGGTCCCTGTCCTCCGGGAAGCTGGGGGGAGACACACGGGGGTAGCGGGCCGCTAGGACAGTAAGCCATGGCAGACGTGAGCACGGGGGCCCCGGAGGAGAGACCTGGGGACCAGGGGAGGGCGCTCAGAGAAGGCTTCCTGGCTTCCCAGAGCTTGGGGCAAGCAGAGGAGGGGGCCATGCATGAGGGGACACGTGCAAAGGGAACGTGACATGTCCCGGGAACTCCGCATGGCTGGAGTGGGAGGGACACTTCCCGGGGGGAAAGGCCAGCTTGGAGAGGTGGACGGGGCAGATCGCAGGAGTTTCTCCCGAGGGCACTGGGAGATGGTAGGAGTGAGGAGACCAGCTCTGCGTAGAATGCATGCGGGCCTCACCCTTTCCGTGGTGCCTGGGCCGGGGGATACAAAATACCTGTGTGAGGGGACGAGACCACTTCCAGCCGGGAGGAGGGGAGGGGACAGGGGCCATGTTCTTTCCACCACCATCTCCAAAGCCAAGGGCTATTCCAGAGAAAGGAGGTTGGGATGACCATGGGGCGGGAAGTGGGCAAAAACCTAAGGAAGGTAAGAGTCAAAGCTGGGAGGGTGGAGAGGGATTCAAACGAGCAGGGACGGAGACAGGAGGGCCAGAGAGGCAACTGCACTTGTTCCCTTCCCCTTCCCTAATCCTGCGTGGTTTCTCTTGCAGCCAAGCCCATCCACCACACAGAGGACCGATGCTTGAGGTTGAAGGTGACTGTCGATGGCAAAACCAGTGAGTGTCAGGGGGCTGTGACCCTCCTTCCTCCTCCCCTCATTGTGGGCCTGGCCTGATGACCTGGGTCGGTGGGGCCCACCCAGCACCCCCACTCCAGTCTCCCCGGCACCGTGCCTGACCTATGGCCACCTCTGTGTTTTAGCTCACAGTCCTCACGCCCAGGACAATCCGCAGGAAAAGAGACTTGCAGCTGGTAGGTCGCCGGGGCGAGCCAGGGGGTCTGCTGAGGAGGCTGGGGACAGGAGGCAGCTCCTTTGCTAGGCAGGGACGGGGGACCCTGCTGGGCTGAGGGCCAGGGCCAGGAGGTGGGACTGCTCACCTTTGCCCTCCCACCTTGCAGATGACCCCGAGGTGCAGGTTCTGCACAGCATCGGTCACAGCGCCGCCCCCCGCCTCTTCCCGTTCGCCTGGGCTGCGCTGCTCGTGCCCATCCTGCTGCTGCAGACCCTCTGACCTCGGACACCGAGTCTCGCCTGAGGACTGGAACAGGGTTGAGGAGGCAGGCAGGCACCCCTCACCTCTCCTGGGGCCCAGCCCCAGTGCTGGGAACCACTCCCACCAAATGCACAAGCTGCCACCCAGCAGCCTCAAAACGGGTCAGTATTAAGGGTTTCAACCCACCGCAGGTCGGCAAGCCTGGTAGTGCCATCCCTGCCTCCCCCTCGGAAGGACGGACAAAGCGGGACAGTCCTTACCCTGCCGTTCCAGCCTCACACCAAAACCAAAACAAACCAAGCTGTGCAGCCATGGACTCTTAAGCGCGCGCTGGGAGCTGAGCTGGAAGGGTCCTGGGGTCATGTGGGAGGACACGGAACTTGGCAAAGATGCCCCTCCCACGAAGAGCCAGGATGCCAGGACGGACTGAAGGAGAAGCGGGAGCTCGCTGCCTGCAGCCGGGACAGGAGAGGCAGGATGCTTGGGCGGCCCCCGCCTCTGCCACCTGCGGAGCGGCCGCGGAGAGATGTGTAGCCAGCCCGGCACCCTCTGGCACCCTCTGTCCCGGGGCAGCACCGAAAGCTGTGCCCGCAGGGGGGCTGTGCCCACCTTTTCCCGGAGTGTAGCTGTGAGGGCAGGGCCCACGTGTACAGGTGTACATACATATGCTGTGTGTCTGATTTCTAAAACTGGAATTTTTTTATACATTCTTTGTCTAAAAATAAAGATGTGTGTTTTTTTTTGGACTTGCCCCTCCATACCGACTTATACCCAACCATGGAGTCCCTGCCATGGAGGATACCAGTAGCCACCGGGCTGGAGTTTTTTCCTTCTAGAGGAGTCCATACCCCTCCCCAAAGCGGGGTGTCCCCTCCTCAGGGCTGCTGGGGACGGAGGGTTTCCTCACAGCCTCTCTGGGAGTTCTTCCGGTCTAACCTCTGCCCGTCCCCACGGCCGTGGGGCTTTGGGCTGGGGCCGCGGCGCGGGTGCTCCTGCAGCGGAGTGAGTCAGGGCGCCCCGCCCGGGACGTGTGGGAACCCGGGAGGGAGCGTTCCCAGCAGCAGTCAGGGCTGGGCCGGGGGGGTCAGCGTATGGATTTTAGGGGATCAGCCAGGTGGGTGGTGTGGCCGCCGGGAGAGGGCACCTGTCAGAACCGGTGGTTCCTGGCAACCCCTGTGGCTCAGGGCAGAGACGGGGAAGGCTCCAGCGAACGGGAAGCCGCTCGAACCCTGCGCCGCGGAAGTTCCGATCCGGAGCTCTGGGTGGGAGGCGCGCTGGCCCGGTTGGGTGCAGCCAGCTTTGGGCCCGCGGAGGCCGGGGCCCGGGCGGCTCAGGGTGCGCGCAGGGCGGGCAGCGCCGGGGGCCGGGGACGCGGGGAGACGTCAGGACCCGGCGACAGGCCAGGGGCGGGGCCTGAGCTCCCGCCTCCGTCCGCTGCGGGTTCCGGCTCCGTTTCCGGGGGCCGGGAAGGGGCGGGGCCACGTCCAGCCGGCGCCCAGGCCTCCCTGCGCGCGCACCGCGCACCGGAGCGGACGGAGCGGTCCCGCCGATGGAGGCGGGCGCGGCGGACGCACTGCTGTCCGCGCTGTGCGTGGCCTTCACCCTCGGCATGTTCTCCACCGGCCTGTGAGCGCGGCCGGGCGGGAGGGCAGGCCCGGGGCGGGAGAGGAGCGCCAGGGCGCAGGGAGACGCGGCTGCGGCCCCGCGCTGCGCCCGGAACCGGGGGTCCAAGCGGAAAGGGGTCGGGGGGACCGGGGGACCGGGGCGAGGCAGGGCCTCTGACCCCGAGGCCAGGGAGCTGAGGGAGGGCAGGGGAGGATGGCAGGCTCTGGGGACCCCCCCCTCCCCCTCTCACCCCTGCCTTCGGGGCGCTGTTCCAGCTCGGACCTCAGGCACATGTGGATGACCCGGAGAGTGGACAGTGTCCAGTTCCTGCCCTTTCTCACCACGGATGTCAAGTGAGAGGGGTGAGGGGTGCCTGCTACGGCGGGAGAGACTATCTGAGGGGGGTGGGATGGGGTGGGGACCCTGAAGAGGCGAATGTCCCTCCCCTCCATCCTGCAGCAACCTGAGCTGGCTGAGCTATGGGACCCTGAAGGGAGATGGGACCCTAATCGTCGTCAACGCGGTGGGCGCCGTGCTCCAGACCCTGTACATCGTGGTGTACCTGCACTACTGCCCCCGGAAGGTAGGGGCCCTCCCCGCACCCACCTGCTGCCGCCTGCCTCGCTGGCAGGACAGACCGTACTTCCTGGAAGACTGCACAGGCTGGCACTGCCGCCTTTTCCTAGAAGGCCCCTGCAGCACTGCAGGCCTCCTCCCTCCATGGGGCCAGCCTCCCAGACCCACACATCGCCCCTCACTCTGGCAAGGCTGGTCGCTCTGCCTGCCCCGATGGTGCCTGCTGCTCAACAAACAGGGAAAGGGCTTGTCTCCCCTAGTTCCTTCGGAACCGGGGCCAGAGGTTGAGAAGATGATTAGCTGTTTCCCCAGTCAGGCACACAAGCATTGATTAAGCTCCTCCTGTGCATACAAACTCACAAAAAACGATCTTCCCCTCCCCTAGCAGTCCCCAGTGCTGTGGGCGGCCCGGTCACTGGTGGGAAAAGGCTGTGACAAGTGCAATGCAGGAGGCCCAAGGGCCGGCTCCCCCAGGGGGGCAGGGGAAAGGCAGGGAGAATTAACTCCGCTGGAGTCAGCCAGGCTGTTCCCTCCCCTGCAGGGTGCCGAGCTCCTGCAGACTGCAGCCCTGCTGGGGGTCCTTCTCATGGGTTTTGGCTACTTTTGGGTCCTGGTGCCCAACGTGGAGGCCAGGCTTCAGCAGCTGGGCCTCTTCTGCAGTGTCTTCACCATCAGCATGTACCTCTCACCACTGGCTGACTTGGTGAGTGGGCGTGTGGGTGTCCCTGGAGCTGGGGGAGATAAGAAGGGCCAGGCTCCCCTAGCCAGAGCCTGGAGCTTACCCTCTACTCCAGTGTTTCCCAAACTTTTGACATATGTGTACCCCTTCTATAATTTTCGTAACCACACTTTGGGAAACATGGCTCTAAAGGAAAGGAAGGAGCCTGGGCCATGGAGGTGGGGGAGGGGGAGGTGGGAGGGGAGGGGTGGGCAGCAGAAGGCCGGGGAGGATAGTTGCCTTGTTTTCTGAGGAAATTACTGGGCAAGGTGGGAGCCTTTCTGTGCATCTGGACAAGGAGTGTCTTTCCTCCTTCCCCGCAGGCCAGAGTGATCCAGACCAAATCCACCCAACGCCTCTCCTTCCCACTGACCATCGCCACCCTCCTCACCTCCGCCTCCTGGACGCTGTACGGGTTCCGCCTCAGAGACCCCTACATCATGGTGCGCAGCGCAGGGAGGGGCGGCGGGTGTGCACGGCGGGAAATCCGCTCCCCTCCTCACGCAGCCCTCGTGATTTCAGGTGCCCAACATCCCGGGAATCCTCACCAGCCTCATTCGCCTCTGGCTTTTCTGGAAGTACCCTCAGGAGCAAGACAGGAACTACCAACTCCTACAAACCTGAGGCGGCTCACTGGCCACAGGACGCCTCCACGCCAACCTGTTACCAAAGAGGTTCAAGCCAACCTGCTCCAACTGTTCCTGCCGACCACGGCACGGGGGCCAGGGCTCATGGGGAAGAGAGACAACTCTGAGAATCCGGGGACCAAAGAAAGAGCTTTACTTAGAAGAGTGGGTGGGATTGGGAGATGAAGCACTTACTTTTTAGAGATTATATTTTTTAATTTGGGGGTTGTGGTGAAATCTTTAGAGTGTGCCTTAAAATAAACGGTTTCCTATCCCTGTCCATCAAGGCTCATTCTCTGTACAGTGATTCTCAACCTGCCGGGTTTGGTGAAGGGTAGAGGTGTGCTGTCTGAATTATTCTTGGGCTGGTAGGCTTAGCTCAGAAAAGGTATCTAAAAGAACCAGAGCATGTGTGAGGGAAAATAATAACCTTACCTAATAATAAGCAAACATGTAAATTGGCTATACATCCACTATATGCCCACAGCCAATCAGGAGTGGGTATGCAAATTAACCCAACAAAGATGGAGGTTAATTTGCACCCGCAGGTGTAGAGCAGCTGGGAGGAGTGGGGTGCCTGCTATGAGGGGCGAGGGGGGAGGGGCAGCGGGGGGAGCTACAGGGGCCAGGACTAGTGGGCTCCCAGTGGACTGGGAGTGAAGCCAGAGGAAGGAAGGACTATTCTTGCACGAATATTGCAATGGGCCTCTAGAAATAAATAAAAGAACCAGAGCAACCTAGAAAAGACCTAGGAAGGCCTTAACAAGGACAGAGCTTGGATGTTATGAAGAAAAATGTAAGTTAGACTTCAAGAAGTACTTCCTGACAGGGTGAAAAGGACCAGAAAAGTAAAACACTTCCATCCTGAGAGATCTTGAGAAGGGGTCTTTGCCTCCTTTGGAGCAAAAAGGAGGAACACCAGCAGAATGCAAAGGTAAAAGCTTGGATGACCTCACTTAAGATGGCTTGTCTGCCTCCCAGTTGGTACACACACAACCCCCCATTCCCATTCTCCATACTGAACAGAAAGTAAACTTGCTCTTTAATGGGGGGTGGGCGGGAGGGGCTGTCGGGTAAAAAGGAGAGTCAGAAGCGCATCCCCCTGCGCGATAAGTCGGCTCTGGCCTCCTGGATCTGGCTCTGCAGCTCGCGGGCGGCGTCCTCGCAGTCGTGGAAAGTGGCCACGCGGTAGCCCACCGTGGCCAGGGCAAAGCAGCCGGCGGACACCAGCACGTAGGCGGGCAGTGGCCACAGGACCTCCCGGCAGGAAGGAGGCAGGTCCAGGGCCCCCAAGGTCAGGGCCGCCCAGGCGGAGCCCAGGAGCGCCAGTGCCCAGAGCCACTGTGCTAACTTCGTCATGGTGGCTGCAGGAAGAGCAAGCGGAGCTCGGCATCTTTCCACCTCGCGACCCCCGCCTCGTCGGCGCCCCCCCTGTGCTTCTCCCCCTGCAGGCCCCTCCATCTCAGCTCCCCAGGGCCCCTTCGCCCTGGCTCTCACCCCCCTCGCCCTCTCCATTCTGCCCGCACCCCACTCGTACCTCTCGGCCGGCTCTTCCCGGTTCCATGCGGGTCTGACGTCAGCGTACGGAACCCACCCCGCGCTCGCGCTCGGCCGTTGCGCGGCCTTCTGGGAGTTGTAGTCCTCGAGGCGGCTCCTGGAAGGCTTTTGGCCAATGTCTTTCCCTCCTGAGTTAGAGCTGGCTGCTCCCGAAACTGTGACTTGGGTCCCAAGGGCTTCGATGCTGCTTCTCTCCCTCAGGGCCCCGCTGCAAGCTGGTGTGGGCCTTGCAGAAAGCCTGAGGCCATTGTACGCCTGAAATCTGTATAATTTTATTAACCAGTGCCACCCCAATACATTCAATAAAAAGGAAAAAAAGGAAAAGAAAGCCCGAGGCCACCCTTAAACCTTGCAATATCATTCTTAAACTTCACCTGTACATACAAATCCCATTCGTTCGTGCATTTATTCTTTCATTCATTCGAAAGCTTCTTGAGCGCTATGATAAACTTTGGAGAAACAGAGAAATCAAGACATATGGCCCCTCCTCCTGGGGTGGAAGGGGCGGGCAAGGAGAGTCAGGCAAAATGGATGCATTGACAAGTAATCATGATGCTTTGAGATAGGTGTTAGAACACAGGTTGTCTTTTTTTTTTTTTTTTTTTTTTTTTTTTTTTTTTTTTGAGAGAGAGAGAGAGGAGAGAGATTTTTTTCATTCCAGATATTTATGCATTCAGTAGTTGCTTCCTGTGTGTGCCCAGACCAGAGATGAACCCACAACCTGGGCACATGGGATCATGCTCTAACCAACTGAGCTACCAGGCCAGGGCAAGGTTGTCCTATTTTTTAAAAAGAAACGCAGGGAAGGAACCAGTATAGCTTGAAGCCAGGGGGGAAAGTGTCCAGGAAGGTGTCTTTAAGGGAAAAGAGTGTGGGACGGAGGAATTATGAGAGCAGGGGTATACATCTTTCAGAGAGGATGGGGGATGAATCCCTAATAGGTATATTGAAACCCAAGTAAAAGGTCAGGCAGATATCAACTTTAGGGGAAATAAAGAACTATAAAAGGAAAGAAAGAGAATGTAAGTTAGACTGATACAGGTCCTGCTTTCAGCGCAGGTCAAGGGCTAGGCATCAACGTTGCAGACCCAGAAATTCTATTTTGTTCACCCCCAGTAGATCCGATGGAGAAAGTGTGCCACTCCCCATAAAATTTGGGGGTAAAAACACAATGAGAAGGGGCTACAACACCTAAAGACAGATCATAAATTATAACGTTGTAATAATAATCAGCAGAAGAAAAAGCATTCGTCGAGGGGTCATGCTTCATGTTCACAACCTGCTGCCGTCGATGCTTTCATATCCCCATTCGGAGCGAGGAAGAACGGAGAGACAGTGCAGGGTAAGTAACTGCCTGAGGTCACGCACACAGTCAGCAGCTGGTGTTCCATCAGCTCAAAGCTATGCGCTTAGTAATTTTGCCTCCTGGGTCTGCCCGGGAACAGGCAGATAGGGATCACAGCAGCGGCTGGTGTTCCCTGATGGGTCGCTCTGTGCCAGGCTCTGTAATGAGTGCTTTGTGTGCATTATCTCCTCCCATCTCCACAGCCATGGCATGAAGCAGTGTTTGTATCGTCTACATTCACAAGTGCGGGAACGGAGGCACGCCCCAAACAATCTGACATCAGAGCCTGCAAAGTTTGCCACCACAATATCATCCCTCCCTCCCGAGATCAATGGAACAGAGTAAAAAGTGGGGGGAAAAAAATAGATCAAACATACACCAGTTTATCAGATGATAGACATGGCATCGAGTGTAAATGAGGAAAGAGGAATTGCTTAAAAACCATTTGCAACTAGCTTACCATTTGAAAAAGGAAATGAAGTTAGAATTCAACCTCACACCTGGACCAAAATTAATTCCCAGGGCATTAAAAAAAAATCAATATAAGTGAAACCCTGTATCTGCCACGAGAAAATGTGGAGGCCTATTTCTCCAATGTTTAGCTCCAGCATCTGTCTTGGTCACCATCTTTCTCCTCTGAGCACCCATTACCTCTCTTATAGATGTTGAGCTATAGTGTGTGTCTGCGTGTGTGTGTGTCTGTGTGTGTGTGTTTAAATATATATTTTTATTGATTTCAGAGAGGGAAGGAGAGGGAGAGACAGAGAGAGAATCATGGATCAGCTGCCTCTTGCACGCCCCACACTAGGGATCAAGCCCACAACCCGGGCACGTGCCCTGACTGGGAATCAAACTGTGACCTCTTGGTTCATAGGTCAACGCTCAACCACTGAGCCAGGTCAACCGGGCAAGCTGTAGGTATTTTGCTTCCCTGCTCAGTCTACCCAAGACCATGTATCTCCAGGAACAAGCACAGTGCGGGAAACCCAGCAAGCCTGCTATAATGTAAGACGAGGGACAGAGGGAAGGACAGGTTAGCATCTGATGGTCTCCTGGGAAACTGGCCCAGCTTTCCTGGTCCCAGGAAATGTGTCTACCCCAGAAACCACCATCTGCCAGCCACGCGGATGGCACTGCACAAAGCCAGCAGGTCCTGATGGTCCAGCTCCCTGCCGGTCTTCCTGCAGACTGTCACCTTCTGCTGCCACAGACATGTGGTAGTTCCAGTAGGAGAGGTGGCACCGCTTGGGGGTTAAATTGGGGGCTTTTGGAGCCCAGCTGCACGGAGCTTGGGTCCGGGCTCTTTCCTTTCCTTAGCTGTGATCTTGGGCAAGTAACCTAACGTCCCTAAGCCTCAGTTTTCTCAGCTGTACAATGGAATCATTCACTGATCCTCCCTCCCATCATTCCCAAACCGTCTTCTGAGCTAAGTTACTTCTACAGCTGGATAAGCTGTTTGTTGGCCTTTTCTGTTCTTGCAAGCTTTGGTTTCAGAGGGCGGCAACTTCCCAACCTGGGAGCCTTCGTGCTGAAGGGCACGGAAGGGGGGAACGTGCACAACGGCACAGGAAGCGGAGGACGGGCTGCCCGGAGGGAAGGCTGCACAGGGGCCCTGACACCAGCGTTGTACGGGAAGATGAGTAAGATTGTTCAAGTGGGGCAGAGGCATTGACGCCACGAGGAAGTCCGAACAAAGGTGCGGGGCTGGGAATCCACGCGAACAATCCTCTGTGGCTTTTCCTGGGACAAAGGCAGCTTCCCGGGGGAGCGGCAGGAGAAGAGGCTGGAAAGCTGGCCAGGCTATGGAAGACCCCTCAAAACTATCTGTGTGGGCCCAACCGGTGTGGCTCAGTGGTTGAGCATCGACCTATGAACCCGGAGGTCACAGTTCAATTCCCGGTCAGGGCACATGGCTGGGTTATGGGCTCAATCCCCAGTGCGGGGCGTGCAGGAGGCAGCCTACCAGTGATTCTCCTTGTTGATGTTTCTCTCTCTCCCTGTCCATTCCTTTCTGAAATCAATAAAACTTTTTTGTCTTGAAAGCATTGTGTTGGGGGGCAGGTTGGTCCCTCAGGTCAGCAACTCACACCGTAGAGGAGAGGGTGACCCCACATGTGCCTGTATGTCAGTGCCGTATGTCATGTAGAGCTTTCGGTGTGCCCACCGGTGCCACGGTGATTACTGGTTCCTGGCAAATTCCCAGGAGTCAGATTGTGTTACTCCATCGCTGGCCTGAGGGCACCCAGTTCCCCTGGGGAGACGGGAAGAACACACTCGTGACCAGCAAGTACGCGTACAGAATCACACCGGCGTTAGGAGTTAGCGGAGGTCGGAGGTCCTGCAGCTGATCGGAGAGGCGGCTGGGTGAGCCAGAGGCC